ATTACTTCGCGAACGATGTGCTGATGAAAGACATGTATTTCGCGGCAAACCTCGAAGACATCGACATATTATATCCCATGAAATGCGAGTCGACGGAAATCCTGTGGAAACCCGGCAAAGACGTGACCGTCGACTGCTTTGATCAGAATGGAAGTGATGGTCAGGTGAAGACTATTCGCCACAATATGTCGTTCTTTAGGCTGTTTTGGTCGACGACCGCCGATGAGATTACTGACATTGAGACCCAGCATCTGATGTATGAGTGGGACATCATTAGGGATATGATCAACACATTCGTGCCAAACGCCGTCCTCTTCTACACCCGGGAACTGTGTCTCACGTCAGACGACATGAATAGCACTGATGGGGAAGAGGAGGAAGAAGTGGATGAAGAGGAAGACGACGACAATGAGGACGAAGAAGAGGGCGAAGACTGCGAGGAAGGCGTCGAAGAGCCGGCAGAAGTGGTCCATCCGTTAGACTGAAGTTGTCATCAAAATCATTGTCATTATTATTAGTAAAAAACTATTTCTCAGATTAAAAATTGCTTTTTATTATCGATTAATTCAATAAAAAATTTTGTATTAAACAAAAAGTCCATTCATTTTCTATTAATAGCAATAAAAATAACATTAAATTCAATGATAAGTATAATTATGAAATTATATAAACATTTTTATAATTGATTTAATCATATAAGTACAGAAGTTCCCTGTCTATAAACGCCAAGCCCTTCGTTATGCTAATAGTCTGTATGTGCATTCAGTTTGCAGTATAAGTTAAATTGTAATATAATTTATACAAATTATATTATCAAATATATTTCATTACATTCCTATTAATAAACAAATTGTCGCCTAAATTATCAAAAAATCAATTATAACAACCATTAGATTGATATGAATTCTAGATTTTATACTAAATGTAATAAATATGACATAAAAATGATTGGAAAATGTGATAATCAATAGCGAGCAAGAAATCTAACTTTTAATTCAAACCAATTATCAATAAGATTGTAATTTATAAACACTATTATACACAAAGGTATACAAATGAGACAAAAAATTGTGGTTTAAAAATATAATACAATTAAAAACACAGATTTATGCTAATTAACAAGTCATTCAATGCCAGAGGAACAGTAGTTTATATGATAATCTGGTAATATCATCACTTCTTATTAATTGATTCATAGAAAAAAGTTTATACTGTATATTAAACAACCGTGTTAAATCTTAGTTCAATTTAATAAATTGAGTTCAAATTATTCATATCTCTATAACAATATACAGTAATACAAACATAATCCCAATTAAAATGTGTATAAATTTTTCCTTGTAACATACTTTAATAAGATTTTGTTACCACTATTTGTGACTATCATTTAGTGTAGGTTTAATAAGATATAAAGCACCTTGGTTACTCAACTCTTCCTATAAGAATCTTGGATAAATAAAAGGTTTTACAGTAGTTTGATAAAAGTTTGTAGTATTAGGAACTATCATTTTGAGTCATCAGTTGGAACATTAAAATATAAACATGGTATTTATTCTCCATATACGGTATATTATACAGTGTATAAAGTATTAATAATTCCGTGTCGTTGAGCACAGAATGCATGTAAGTGTGGGCCGACTGTATGGACTGTATGTGTGTTGAGTGTTGCAGTGGTGCCCAACAGATGGCCACTGAGTGGTGGAGTGAAGCAATGTTTACATAGAATACATTCGTTGATGCATTGAGTGAGCAGTGAATCGATTGTGTGTTTCGATATGTTTTGACCCAAATAGCGATCAGTCGTTCAGTCGTTCACTGAGTATAGCATTGACTCGCCTTTCGTTCAATTGTTGTCATTGTCTGACACTTGGACTCAATGTGACCGACGATGAAACGGGTCGTCATTTTCATCAATGGATCCCAAGTGGACGGCAAAGTAAGTCATACCATACCATACATAGCATAGCTCTCACTGTGATCCTGTTTGTGGTGTTGAGGTGTTTCTGGTGACCCACTCGATGGACGAGTTGCTCACCTCCTCGTCGGCGAAGTTTGGGATTCAATGCAAACGCCTCTTCACTAAAGATGGCGGAGAAATAGATGACATAAAACTGGTTAAAGACGACGACGTGCTCTACGTGTCTGACGGCCAGGCCTTCATCAAAGCGGCCGAAGACACCAATAAAGACCAGAATAAGTACGGAATCAGCGATTCGGTGATCGTATGGTTGTGTTTGTAACGAATGAATGGTTTGTTTAGATCTCTTGTGAACATCCACTCCGCGAACGAATGGATTCTTCTGAATATCGGCGGAAAGATCTTCTCGACGACGAGGAGTACATTAGTGGCCAAAGAGCCGAATTCAATGCTCGCGCGGATGTT